TCTTTATAAACTGTGTTATGCCAATTGAGCTAGATGTTCCCCGAGACCATGGTCCCCACAGCCCCCCGCCCAGCAATTCAGTCCCTCAGGGAGTTTGGAAGTGTCTACGGAGCTTCCACGACCTTTCCTTGTACAAGTTGTGCTGGTTTCCCCAGTAATGTGTACTGTCTTAGCCTTCACCACAGACTTACAAGCTTTTGAGACCCCCGATGCTACTCACCAAAGCAGAATGTAGAACATGTTCTTTATAAACTGTGTCATGCCATTTGAGCTAGATGTTCCCCGGGACCATGGTCCCCACAGCTCTCAGCCCAGAAACTTGGTCCCTCAGGGAGTTTGTATGAGTCTATGGAGCTTCCATTAACTTAGTACCATTTCTAATGATCATAGTTTGTGTCTGACCTCACCCACCAGCCTTTGAGTTTTCTGGGGCAAGGACTTTTACCCTATACCACTCAACTCAGCCCAGGGCCTGGTATATGATAAATGCTGAAAGGAATGAATGGATGAATGAATAAATGAAATCTGACCTTTGTAAAGAGCTAGTCAAGTTGGGGGAGGCTTGGCTGTAAGATTCAGAACCTGGGCGGGCCCAGGGACACCCTGTGCGCACACACACACCACACTGAACAGGTGCAGGCTTACGCACAGCTCGGCACATCCTACACAGAGACACACGTGTGTCAGCATTTGTTAGTGTGCCTGTAGGATATCATCCCAGCTCCTCTCCCTCACGGGGCCCCAGATTTACCTCCCACTTTATACCAACTCTCCATCCCTGGTGCCTCGGTGTCTGCAGAACACACTCCTGCATTTTCACCTCTGCTCTTGTGCCCCTACCCAGCCTGTCAGCGTCACTGAGGAGGTCTCTCCTCTCCTCTTGTCTAAATTCTTCTCATCCTTCAGGGCTCAGGTCAAGTTCTTTCCCCTTCACAAGTGTTCTGGCTCTCCCCTGACCCCCTCCAGTCCTTGCACCCCCATCCAGCTGTCACACCAAGCCTAGGGTTACCAACCTGGCGAAGAGCCTGGGCTCGTCTACCCTCCCAAGCTAGACTGTGAGCTGTGAGGGATCAGGGCCTTTTCCTGATGTTCGGAGTCCCTGGCACAAAGCTGGGCATGGAGAGGGTATCTAATGCACTCTTGAAAAATAAACCGTTGCCATTGAGTCGATTCCGACTCATAGCACCTCTGTAGGACAGAGTAGAACTGCCCCATAGGGTTTCCAAGGAGTGGCTGGTAGATTCGAACTGCCGACCTTTTGGTTAGCAGCCGTAGCTCTTACCCACTGCCCCACCAGAGCTCCAATGCACCCTTAGCTGGATGGCAAACTAATGAATACATGGATGAGTGAGGAATGATTGCCTGGATGGAGGAGCAGAGGTGGCCGTGGCTGGGGCCAGGGCTCAGGGAGAGGAAAGGGCCCAGCCATTTTACCTAGCTTATGGCAGCCTGGCTGAAGCCCCCAGGGGCTTTGTTGGCCCTTTAAGGACCCTGAGCTCAGGCAACCCCCAGGCTGAAGGAAGAGAACAGTCGGAGTCCAGCTGCATCAGGAATCAGGGGAATGAGGCTGAATGGGAACCTGGAATTCTGGATGCCCCGTGGGTGGCCTGATTCAGGTCACGGGTTCCCTGGGAGCTCTTAAGGATGTCCTCCCTGCCTTCGCTCCTGGGGCGGGAGAAAGCCACAACAGAGGTGACCTTGTGTAAGCTCAGCCCCCCAAGAGCCAGGGAAACCCAATGGGATGGCCGGTGGGACAAACCTCAGATCCTTGGGCATAGCCCTGACCTTGTAACCCCACCTGGGAGATGGCAGGAGCCTTCCTGCTGCCTCAGTGTGCGCTTTCTCTCACCTAGAGAAGGTGCAAAGCTGGCACTGAAACCAGGTGGCCACTGGGCTTTCTTGCCACCTCAGCTGTCCTCTGGCCTGTCCCGGGTCACCGAGGAGGACCATAGAGCACCTCTCCCCTCTCCCCCAGCCCCTTCCTGGCCTGGCCTTGCCCAGACCACCCTTGAAACCAGATTCCTTCTACCCCGGGGCCTAGTAGGTAGGTGCTGAGAGCCTGGGACTGGGGGGAAGGGAGGAGCTACCCAGCCAAGCCCTTCCCCGGGGGGTGCTAGAGCAACCGAGCCCGGCCCAGCCTCCCTCCCACTTCCTTCCTCCCATCGCACTACCCTCCCCTGAGCCTCCTGGGGTTGCATAAGGGTGAGATGCAGGCATCTGTGAGGGGTGGAGGGATTACTCAAGGTGAGGGCATGCCCCAGAAACCTCAAGCCCTGTTTCCTCAATGCCAGGGTAGGGCAGGAGGGGCCAGCTGAGACAGCTTTTTGGGACACTGACTTCCTCCTCGCTGTAGAAGCCAGAGGAGGTTAGACCCACCTTCCCCCACCCAAGCCCAGGACTGGCCTCAGAGCAGGAGGGGCTGCGTGGGTGGCTCTACGAGACATCGCCCCCACTACACACACAGCCTGCACAATGGTTAGATCCACTTCCAGAGAGTCTGAGAGGTGCATTTGGGAAAGTGGGACATGTCAGCACCCCTGCCCTCCCCTGAGAGGCTGGAATCCAACCCCTTCCCTGTAGCCCCAAGCTCTTGCTGGCAGAGGGGGAGCTCAGGGGCACTCAGTGCTGGGCTTCCATAGGGGTGAGAGCTCACGCAGAGCCGCGCAGAGCTATCAGGTAAGTACTCAGATATTTGAGGGCTCCTACCACTGTTTGATGGAGCCCTGGCCACACAGTGGTTAAGAGCTACAGCGTGCTACGGCAGCTAACCAAAAAGGTCAGCAGTTTGAATCCACCAGCCGCTTCTTGGAAACCCTATGGGGCAACTCTGCCCTGTCCTGTTGGGTCGCTATGAGTCGGAATTGACTTGACGGCAATCGGTTTGGTTTGGTTTGGTTTGGGTACCACTATTTGTGTGTGTGTGTGTGTGTGTGTGTGTGAAATACATATATAACAAAACATTTGCCAATTCAACAATTTTTACATGTATAATTCAGTAATATTGATTACATTCTTCATGTTGTACAACCATTATCACTGTTGTTTTCCAAATCATTCACCACCATTAACAGAAACTCAGTGCCCCCTAAGCAAACCCCTCCTCCCCCACCCCCCTCTCACCACTGGTAACCACTAATAAACTTCAGTTTCGATATATTTGCCTATTTCATATATGTGAGATCATGCCCCCACACTATTTTTAATGAGAACAGCCACTAATACATTATGGAGAAGGATATAAACTCCATATGTGATTGCAAAGGTAACATGAGAGATTTCAAAGACATTTCATTCTTGAGACTGATACTTCACATTATTCCCCGTGACTCAGTGCAAGCTCCCTCTCCAATCTTTGGGGGGAAAGTTTGAGAAAAGTTAAAATAATGCATTTCTTCTCCCTGAGTGTTAGAATTCTAATAAAGATTCAGCGAGACTCTCAGACCCAAAGGAATGCCTCCCCTATGGTGGATTTTAGTCCACGCGACTAATGACGAGAGACCAGAACCCCAGAACGTCTGAACTAGGAGAGACTCTAGAGATCAAGTCAAGTCCTTTATTTAACAGACAGAAAAGGCCCAGTGAGGGGAAGTGGCCTGTTCAAGGTCACACCGCTCCATTTCAAGGCTGCCAACCCAACCTGCTTTGAAAACAGTTTTCAGC